CCGCGGGCTCAGGCAATCCACTCACCTCAGCCTCCCAAAGTGCTGGGATTACAGGCTGAGCCACCAAACCCAGCTAGTTGTCTCATTTTAAAGTGGTGGGAGAGGCTAGGCACGGTGGCTCAGGCCTGTAATCCCAGCACTTTGTGAGGCGGAAGCGAGAGGATTGCCTGAGCCCATGGGTTCAACACCAACCTGGGCAACATGGTAAGACCTGTCTCTACAATAAATCAAAAAATTAGCTGGGCATGGTGGCATGCGCCTATAGTTCCAGTTACTTGGAAGGCTGAGGCAGAAGGATCACCTGAGCCCAGCAGGTTGAGGCTGTGGTGGCTGTGAGCATGCACTTCAGCCTGGGCGACAGAGTGAGATTCCAACTCAACAACTCAAAAAAAAAAAAGTGATGAGAGAAAAAAGCCAAAGGAATAATAAAAGAAAAAAAAAAACAAAACAAAATAAAGTGAATAAAGTGGTGGGAGCTGGAAGCAGGATGGCAAATAGATTTTATCTCACAGGCCAAAACTGATTGCTGTTGACTTCTTGAGCCCTGTCTAGAGCAGCTATCTGGACTCAGCAGGAAATCCTGCTGTGATTATTTAGATGCCTGGGATTGGAGGTTGCTGTGTGTGCTCTTTAGGTTTACAGACCCTAGATCTTATTATCCTCAAGTTCCTTTTTGCACAGATATTCTTTGATTCTTCTGTGCTTTCTTCTCTGTCTTATGTCACTCTCTACCAGCCAGTTGTCTGCCTTCTGCTTAAACATTTCCATGATAGGGAACTCGCCATCTTCCCTATTGTTAGATTGTTTTTCCTCGTGTTGAGCTCACATCTGCCTCCCTGAACATGTGCCTGGAAAGATGCTTGGGTTCAGGCATAGGTGATGCCCTTTGGTGTTTGGAACCTGGGTAATCAATGTATAATTTCTGCCTTCTGGAGGTATATGGAATTGCTGCTTTCTTTTCTTTTTTCTTTTTTTTCTTTCTTTCTTTTTTTTTTGAGTTGGAGTACAGTGGCACAATCATGGCTGACCACAGCCTCGACCTCCTGGGCTTAGGTGATCCTTCTGCCTCAGCCTCCCGAGTAGCTGGGACTACAGGCGTGTGCCACCATGCCCAGCTGATTTTTAAAAAATTTTTATAGAGGCAAGTTGGATTCTCACTTTGTCGCCCAGGCTGGAGTAAAGTGGTATGCTCACAGCCATGGCAGCCTTGACCTGCTGAGCTCAGGTGATTCTTCTGCTTCAGCCTTCCACATGGCAGGAACCTCAGGCATGCACCACTACACTGGCTAATTTTTTGATTTATTATAGAATCAAGGTCTCGCGGTGTTGCTCAGGCTGGTCTCAAATCCCTGAGCTCAGGCAATCCTCTCACCACTGCCTTCCAAAGTGCTGGAATTACAGGCGTGAGCCACCATACCTGGCAGGACAAGGTCTTGCTATGTTGCTCAGCTAGTCTCAAACTCCTGGGCTCAAGTGAACCTCCCTCCTCAGCCTCCCAAAGTGCTGGGATTACAGATGTGAGCCACCGCAGAACTGCTGCTTTCTAATATTTTATGACAGTACCAGAGATAGCATCTGTATATCCTTTGAAAAAAACACTTTAAAAACATCATCACCAGCCGGGCTCGGTGGCTCAGCCTGTAATCCTGCGCCTTGGGAGGCTGAGGTGAGTGGATCGCCTGAGCCCGCGGGTTCAAGACCCACCTGGGCAACTTGACGAGACCTCATCTCTACAATAAATCGAAAATTAGCCGGGCGTGGTAGCGCGCGCCTGTAGTTCCAGCTACTTGGAAGGCTGAGGCAGAAGGATCGCCAGAGCCCAGCAGGTCGAGGCTGCGGTGGCCAGGAGTGGCCACTGCACTCCAGTCTGGGCGACAGAGTGAGACTCCAACTCAAAAAAAAAAACCATCATCACCTAGTTTGTTATAGCAACCCTGTGAAGCTGGTGTTCTCCTTCCATTTTACAGGCGAGGAAGCGGAGGCTCAGAGTTAACAGAGCGGCCCTCTGAGACCAAGCCTGAGCACCTCTCGCCAGCTGCGCTCCTCATCCCCGGTCCCGTCCCCAACCTTCTGTTTTCCTGGCTCCCCCGAAAGCCCACGGCCTCCCATTCTCTCGCCCTCCGCAGGTTTCCATGTGATACCCACTATCTCAAGCATCGTCCCGGAGAGCTGCCTGCTGATCGTGGTGGGGCTGCTGGTGGGGGGCCTGATCAAGGGCGTGGGCGAGACGCCCCCCTTCCTGCAGTCAGATGTCTTCTTCCTCTTCCTGCTGCCGCCCATCATCCTGGATGCGGGCTACTTCCTGCCATTGCGGCAGTTCACAGAGAACCTGGGGACCATCCTGATCTTCGCCGTGGTGGGCACTCTGTGGAACGCCTTCTTCCTGGGTGGCCTCATGTACGCCGTGTGCCTGGTAGGCGGTGAGCAGATCAACAACATCGGCCTCCTGGACAACCTGCTCTTTGGCAGCATCATCTCGGCTGTGGACCCTGTGGCCGTGCTGGCCGTCTTCGAGGAAATTCACATCAACGAGCTACTACATATCCTTGTCTTCGGGGAGTCCCTGCTCAATGATGCCGTCACTGTGGTGAGGGGCCGGAGCCATGCCCACATGCACACAGGGCACAGACCCGAATCCAGGCCTGAAGTGAATCCCTCATCCGCCCACTAATAATGGTCACAGAAATAGCCGAGGCCCATTCCTGCTTCCTGTGTGCCAGGCACCATGCTGAGCCCTTTGATGTGGGTTAGCTCATTTAATCTTCATGACAGCCTTAGGAGATACTTTTTATTCTCACTTTCCAGAGAAGGAAACAGGCCCAGAGAAGTGAGATAACTTGCTAGAATGTGATAGGACCATTCTGTGATTGAAGCAGGTCTGCCTGACTCCAGGGCCTGAGCTCTTGACCTTACTAGGTCGTATGCTCCCTCCTTGACATGCATTTTGATGTGATCTTGGACAAATTACTTATCCTCTCTGTGCCTCAGTTTCCTCTTTATAGACCATTTAACCTGTGAGAGGCCTTTCCACTGTTGTGGTGGCTATATCTTAAGTTCGAATTTGGTTTGTGCAGTGTCTGCACAGAGATTTATAGAAAGGGACCTTGTCTCCAAAACTTCTGGGAGGTGATTAGTAAAATGGGTTGACCTGTTTTGGTCACCTGCTTGCTGTGTGACCTTAAGCAAGTAACCATACCTCTCTGGTCCTCACTTTTGACAGCTGCAAAGTGGCACAGTATTAGTGCTTTCCTCCCAGATTCTGTACATGGTAGCACTATATGTGCCTGCACATGCCTTTCTTCCCAGCCAGTTTCCTTGGGTGTGCATGCACACCCATGTCATGTGGTAAGACACTCTCACTGCCTCCTAAGCTGGCCCCCTTAGAGAGCAGCTGCACACACAGGAAAGCACAAGGGTGCCTATGCATGCCCAGGCTATGCTCACACATGCACTCACTCTTCTGCACCCCCAGCCCCTCAGGAAATAACATTTCAGATTAAAGACAGGCTATTCAGCTGCTGACAATCTCAACTTCCTCTTCCTCCCCTGCCCCTCTTGCTGGCTCCTCATGGGTCTGGGTAGAGCAACAGACTGGCCTGAACAGGCAGGCCTCCATCCTGGTCTCTTCTAGCACCAACTCTTGCTCAGGGTTACTGCATGAGCCTCAGTTTCCCCATCTGTGACATTGCAGCACCCAGCCTGTCATCTTCCCACAGTTCTTGCAGGAGTTACACTAATATCTTTGAAGCAGGTGCCAAAAACAAAACTCTACTTAGGGGGATCTGGTGTTGGGGTTCAGGCTAGCACTGCTGGGGAGCTGTGGACATGGTTGCATTAGGTGGGCAACCTGGACTCCACCACTTTGGACCCACAGCCCCATCTCCTAAAGGCGGTGGCAGTGGTGGTAATGCTTGCTGGACTCAGTGCTTCCTGTCCAAATGTGTGTTTTCTCGCCTAATCTACACAGTAACTCCAGGAGGTGGCACTCTTATTACCCAGCTTTTTGAGGCGAGGAGGCTGAGGCACGAGAGCGTCCGTTAGCCTAAGTGATGTAGCTGGGGCTCACATCTCCATAGTCCGAGTTCAGAGCCCAAATGTTGACCACTGTGCTACACTGCCTCTCTGTAGTTCTAGTGACGGTAGTACCAGGCCAGAAAGGAGGACCTTCCCCTCTGTGCCCATTCCCCGGCCCATGTGGTAGACCATGAGGACTCATGCATCCCTTCAGGCCAGGAGTGAGTTTAGATGGTCCAGGGCTAAGAACATACCTATTCATGAGGCTATGTACTGCTGGGCCTTGCCCTGTCTCCTAAACAGCTGGGGCCAGACAGCACCAGGCCTGGCCAGTGCTTGACATCTCTCCGTCCTGCCTGGCCTACATCAGGCCTGTCTGGAGCTTTAGGCGTGGGTGAGAGTGCTCCATTTCCCAAGCAGTAAAGCTGGAGGATGCCCTGAGCTGCCTGGTCTCAGGTCTGTGCCCTGAAGCAGGTCACTCCTCTGCTCCAAGTCCTGGGGGCTTCGTAGTGTTCCCAGTCCTGGGTTCTCAGGTCTTATCCTCCCTCCCCCCAGGCCTGGAAGCTCCCCGCTGGTTCCTGGCAGAGCTGTTTAGGACTGGACTCAAGTAGGCCAGGCAGCCAGAGAGCAGCTGCTAGGAGGAGGCAGAACCTCAAAGCAGAGCCTACTGGGGAGGCCCCAGGCCATGGCCTCCGGGAACAAGTTCTGGGCCCAGTTCTAGTACTCACAGGCTGGGGGCCCTCTGGCATGTCATCTTGCTGCTCTGAGTGTCAGTTTAGCAAGGGAATGAATACCCTTGACCCACCTACTCATGGGGTTGTTGAGTGTCGACTAGGATAAAGACCGTCAAAAGACTTTAGTGTATGAAGTGCCACTGAAATATCTGACGATAGTGTTAAAGTGATCATCTGTTTCCCAGTCCAGGAGATGGGGACATCTCAGAAAGCTTCCAGTTCCTGTAGCATCTGAACTTGGCTGTTCATTGCAACCACCTGGGGAGCTTGTCAAATAGTGACTTCTGGGCCCCACCCCGGCGAGTCCAAGTCTGGTATGGCCTGGCCATGTGTATTTTCAAGGAGTCAGAGATTAAGAAATCCCATTCCAGTACATTGTCTGAACTTCCCGCTTTGTGCCGAAGGAGAGACTGAAACCCAGAGATGGGCACGATGTGCCCAAGATCAAGCAGTGAGAGGGATCACCTTCATAGTACCAGTAGTAGCTAACACTGCATCAGGCAAGGTTCTGAGTGCTTTATTAACTAATTTAGTCCTCACAACAGCCCTGTCAAGTTGGTACTCTTATAATTTTGTTCTTTTCCTCTTTTTTTTTTTTTGAGTCAGAATCTCACTCTGTTGCCCATCTTGACTTGCTGGGCTCAGGTGATCCTTTTGCCTCAGCCTTCCAAGTAGCTGGAGCTATAGGTGTGCCATCACACCCAGCTAATTTTTCTGGATTTATTGTAAAGACAAGGTCTCACCAAGTTGCCCAAGCTGGTCTTGAACCCATGGGCTCAGGCAGTCTTCTCACCTTGGCCTTCCAAAGTGCTGGGATTGCAGGCATGAGCCACCAGTCCCAGTGGTATTCCTGTGATTATCCTCATTTTATGGGTGGGAGAACTGAACACAGGGACCATGAATAATTTCCCCCTTGTACAGAGCTTGGAAGCGGCAGAACCAGGATTCTAGACCAGACAGTTTAACTCCAGTGTCTGTGCCCTTCAGCAGTGTGGCATGTTGTAGGCCCACAGAAGCCCCTCTGGCTCTAGGCTGTGGTTTTAAGTACCTGCTTGGCATTAGGGTTTCTCTGCTACCATGTGGCCTTTTCTTGTGGCCATGGTCAAAGGAGGGGATGGGATCACTCTGGGTGGACCCCAGGGAACCATGGGGCCAGAGCCCTTTCCTTCCACCCACCAGCCTGTACACCCTCTCCAGGTCCTGTATCACCTCTTTGAGGAGTTTGCCAACTACGACCACGTGGGCATCGTGGACATCGTCCTTGGGTTCCTGAGCTTCTTCGTGGTGGCCCTAGGCGGGGTGTTTGTGGGCGTGGTCTACGGGGTCATTGCAGCCTTCACCTCTCGGTTCACCTCCCATATCCGCGTCATCGAGCCGCTCTTCGTCTTCCTCTACAGCTACATGGCCTACCTATCAGCTGAGCTCTTCCATCTGTCCGGTATCATGGCGTAAGTCTGAGTGTGGCAGGCAGCGGACTTGATGGGGGGTTGCCAGCTTGCATTCCCCAGACTGAGAGTCATGGAGCTCCCCAGGGCCCAGCCTCTAGCCCTAGGGATGTAACACAAGCTGCAGGTTCAGACTTGCTTGTAAGCTACTTAAATTGCCAAGCTCATTGGAGATGTCCTAAAAGAAGGACACTTCTGCTGGGCTCTGTGGGATCCAGGAATCTGGAGAGGGCCTTTCTGGCTGTGAAAAGGTGAGACAATCAAGGTCTGCATTAGGGCAATGCAGGGCAAAGGAGGGCAGAACCTTGGAAACTGCTAAGCTTAAAGTTTGGGAACATCTCTGCCCTACTGCTTCTTCCCTTCATTTGTTTCACAGAGAGTCCCATGACTCTTGCTGGACACAGGTACTCACTCGCTCCTCCACCAGTAAGGGGGCTAAAGTCTTCTGTTGAAGTGGGGAGTCTCACCAGGCCCGAGTCATGGAGATCCAGAGCCTCTGCTGGATCTCGAAGTTGAGGGAGTAGGATTTGGAGAGGCAGCAAGGTGGGAAGGTATTCTGGTGCAGATGCAACTCAGGGTAATGGCAAGGAGGCCTGGCTCACAGCACAGCCAGATGTGGGCACCAGGTAGGGAGTACTTGGGCTGCTGTTGGAGACAAAGTTTTCTGTGAGGATCCCTGTGCATCAAGGGGATGCCACACTTGGGAATAAGTCCAAGAGACCACGATGTGTGTTATGAACTCTCATTGGGCAGAGGGGCAGTGTGACTGTGACGTGAAAGTGCAGGCCATGGAGTTGACAAAGCATAGTTTGCATCTGAGCCCTGCTGCCCACTAGTAGCCTGACCCCGGGCAGGTGACTTTATCTCCCCTGGAGACAGATCTCTCCTGAAAGATGCAAGAATACATTGGTGCCTGTAGGGTCGATGTGAGAGTTGGGTGGGAGCAAGTGTGTGAGGCCCACAGTGGGCATCTGGCTCACAGAGTAGCTCAGTACATGCACCTTCATCGTGGCGCTGTCAGCCCGGCGGTGGAGGTGCAGTTCAACTCAGCCCACTCTTCCCCAACCCAGACTCATTGCCTCGGGAGTGGTGATGCGCCCCTACGTGGAAGCCAACATCTCCCACAAGTCCCACACCACCATCAAATACTTCCTGAAGATGTGGAGCAGTGTCAGCGAGACCCTCATCTTCATCTTCCTCGGGGTTTCCACAGTGGCTGGTTCCCACCACTGGAACTGGACCTTTGTCATCAGCACACTGCTCTTCTGCCTCATCGCCCGAGTCCTGGGTGAGGGGCGGGCAGGGCCAGGTCGGGGGTGGGGGAGGCCGTGAGATGTGTGTCGTGTGGAGGAGCTGGGCTGTGAGGGGTGTGTGTGTGGTGTATGGTGTGTGGTTGTATGAAGGACTGTGCATTGTATGAAGGAATATGGTGTGTATTTGTGTGTGTGTGTGGTGTATGTACAGTGTGCTGTATGAAGGACTATGGTGTGTGTGTGTATGTATGTGTGTGGTGTGTAGCACATTGTGTGGAGGGGCCGGGTTGTGTATATGTGGTATGTGTGTGGTGGGGGAACCTTGGTTGACTCCTGGCTGTTCCCAGCACAGCTGGACAGGAGGGGCTTCCACATTCCTTCTCTCTGCAATGCTGACGTCGTGATGGGCCTTGAGGGGGAAGAAACCAGTACTCAGAATGACTCTGTGATCTCTGGAGACAGAGTTGTGTTATATCAGAGTGAAGGGGGTCTGAACCTGTGGGTTTTCTGAGAAGGGGACACAGGTCTGTGGCCCTAAGCTGAGTGCTCTCTGTGTTGTCTTAGGCACAGATGACATAAGCATTTGCAAAGCCACTGCAGCTCAGTGTGCACATGGGTCCTCGGGTTCCACCCACACGTGCCAGACACACCCCACCTTAGTGACTGGATCACTTCCTCTCTGGATCTCACTCACTTCCTCTCTAAGATGAGGGTTAGGTCTATGGTCCCCAAGCCTGGCTGGGTGTCACATTTACTTGGTGTACTTCTAAAAATCCCCTTTAGTCCTGAGCCTCATTCTCCAGGGATTCTGGTTCTGTGGGTAGATGTTGGACCCATCCCTCTGCATCTTTCATTTTTGTTGTTGAGTCGAAGTCTCTGTCGCCCAGGTTGGAGTGCATTGGCATGATCACCTGGCTCACTGCTGTCTCAACTCCCTCAGGAGATCTTTCTGCCTCAGCTTCTCGAGTAGCTGTGACTACAGGTGCACACCACCATGCCTGGCTAACTTTTTTTTTTTTTTGTAGAGATAAAGTCTCGCTATGTTGTCCGGAATGGTCTTGAACTCCTGGGCTCAAGCGATCTTCCTGCCTCACCTTTCCAAAGTGCTGGGATTACATGTGTGAGCCACTGCCCCCAGCATCTTTCATGTTTTATTATGAAAAATGTCAAATTTGTAGAGGAGTAGAGAGAATGGAATAATGATCCCTCATGTACCTCTCATATTTAGCAAGTATCAACTTGTGATCAATCTTGTTTCATCTTTTCTCTTCCCTCACCCCACCGTCCATCCTCCAGCCACTAGAGATCTCTGTGGCACCTTGAAAGCTCATCCAGATTGGGGAACCCCCTTAAGGATCCACCTAGCTCTTGGATTGAGGGATTCAGCACCCTGGGCTGAGGCAGCCCAGTTAGGTGGGCTTAGCAGTGGAGACTTCTTGAATACGCAGAGAAGTTACTGGTGTAGAAGCCAGAAAAGGCTGGGGACAGCCTGACTTGACCTCTCATCTACCCCTCCCCACCGCAGGTGTGCTGGGCCTGACCTGGTTCATCAACAAGTTTCGCATCGTGAAGCTGACCCCCAAGGACCAGTTCATCATTGCCTACGGGGGCCTGCGAGGGGCCATTGCCTTCTCCCTGGGCTACCTCTTGGACAAGAAGCACTTCCCCATGTGTGACCTGTTCCTCACTGCCATCATCACTGTTATCTTCTTCACCGTCTTTGTGCAGGTGCTGGGCCAGAGTGGAGCAGACCCTTGCCTTGGGGACCTTACGCTGTTCCTATGGAAAGAGGAAAGTGTATGACTCCAAGTGGGGCTGTGGATTCTAGTCCCAGCTCCACCGCAGACTTGCTGCATGACCTGAGACAAGTCAGTCCCTCTTTCTGGGCCTCAGTTTCCTTCACTGTAAATTGAGAGTTGTAATAATGAGTCATTGCAAAGTGACTGATCAGTGTAAAGTAACCAGAATGCCACCTGACTTAATTAGGAGTTGAGGTAGCAGTAAGAGAAGTGGGTACAGACAGCAGGCCCGAGATTTGCCTTTGCCATCAGCTCACTGTAGGGCTATAGGCAAGAGATTTAGTATGTTAGGACCTGAGTTTCTGCATCAGTAACATGGGAATAATAGCACAACATGGGGAACTGGAAAGGGCTCTGAGCCAGGCAGCGGGAGGCCTGGAGTCCGCCCTGGTTCTGCTGCTGTGTCTTTGTGACCCTGGAAAAGACCCTCCCTTCTCTGGATCTCAGCCCCCATCTGTGAAGTGAGGGAACTGGGCAAGATGATCCCCAGGAATTCTTCCAACCTTCTGGTCAGTGATTTCTGTGCATTTAAATGACCTAGGCTTAGCTGAGAGCCACCCTTCTGCCCAGAGTCCCCAAGGAAACCCAGACTGGGATGGTGTAGATTGTTCTGCCTTAATTGAATCTCTGTGACCTTGGGCAAGTGAGAAACACTATCTGGACCTCGATTTGTTTACCATCCCCTCTATCTTTGCTGGGCACTGATCCTCGGAAAGCCCTATATGGAACATATCTGCCTTCTCAAGAGAAAAAAAGATAGCAGAAACCTCCTGGGGCTGGCTTATTTTCTGTCCTTTAAAAGGAGAGGAACTGTCTCTTTTGTCCTCTTGCTCTACTTCCATCTTAAAAAATATTTTTTTCACCTTGACTTTGCAGTTACATGTGCTAATGGTTTTCTAAGCCCATTTTCATTGAAGGCAGCATTGGGGTGGGGACTCCCTCTGAAGCCAGCCTTCCTGAGTTTGACTTTTGGCTCTACTGCTTCTGTGGGACCTTTGAAAGTTGCTTAACCTCTCTGAGCCTAAGTTTCCACATCTGTAAAATGGGGACAATGAAGAGACCCACCTCTAAATGTGGTTGTGGGTATTGAAAAGAGTACTATTAGAAAACTTACAACTGGGTCTGCCACATGACAGGTGTGCAAACTCCCTAGCAGTCTTGTGAAGGAGACAGGGCAGAGGTGATCCTTCTGTATGCGAGGAGGCCTGACTTCCTTGGGGTTGCAGAGTGAGTCTAGTGAAGCCTGCATTTGAACTTAGCCTCTTTGACCCCTGGCCCAGACTAGATGACAAGCATGAGGGCCATTCAGCTGTCAAACCTCTGGCCATGTCTCCAGGAAGAAGAAAGTCTTCAGTTCCTGACTTTAGATAAGTGCTAGGATGGAGATTGGGGAAGTCTAACCCCACTGGGTCCTGGAAGAGAGCCGAGCAGAGAGGGTCCTAGCCTCAGGGATCCTGGGGGAAGTGGGAGGTTCCACAGCCTCCCTGCAGAAATGGAGTGCTTGACATCCACCTGTTCCCCCAGGGAATGACTATTCGGCCCTTGGTAGACCTGTTGGCTGTGAAGAAAAAGCAAGAGACAAAGCGCTCCATCAACGAGGAGATCCACACCCAGGTACTGGATGCTGGGGGCTGGGCCCTCAGTGCAGGAGAAGGCTCGGGGAGCAGGGGAGCAGCTAGGCCTCAAGTGTCCACCCTTAGTCAGCCCCATGCTCTTTCTTGCCAGTGCTGGGGTGCTCCCTTGAGGCCACCAGGGTCTAGCCATAGGGAAGATGTAGTATGGACAACTGGGAGCCTGAGGAGGGGGCATTATTCCATTTTGCCCCTAGTTGGAACTGGTCCCAGGTATTGGACACAGGTGGGCTCAGAGAAGGGGGCTCACCCAAACACCAGGGCAGAAGGTTCGAGGTGCCTCAAGTTGGTTCCACTGGGGTTCTGAATGAGTGAGGTGTAGGTGCCACCTCCTGGCTACTCCTGGAACTACAGGGCTGGGCCTCGCAGAACTCCAACTCAGGAGGAAGGGGGCTATTCAGAGGTCTTGGTAGGGAGGCGTCCAACAGTGAGCCTTGACCTGGCACTGGACCCATTTCAGTTCCTGGACCACCTTCTGACAGGCATCGAGGACATCTGTGGTCACTATGGCCACCACCACTGGAAGGATAAGTAGGTGGCAGTCCTGGTGGGCGGGCAGGTGAGCAGGGAGGGGCCGGTGGGGGTCTCCCAGGGCCTGGGGATCTCCCCGCCCCTGGGAGCTAGCTCTATCCATCTCCTTCCTCCTACCACAGGCTCAACCGGTTTAATAAGAAGTACGTGAAGAAGTGTCTGATCGCCGGTGAGCGCTCCAAGGAGCCCCAGCTCATCGCCTTCTATCACAAGATGGAGATGAAGCAGGCCATCGAACTGGTGGAAAGCGGGGGCATGGGCAAGATCCCCTCTGCCGTCTCTACTGTCTCCATGCAGTGAGTGTCAAGGGCCAACTGGGCAGCTTCCACACCCACACACCAGCCCCTTGATGGGGTGTCTCTGCCACTTGTGTCAGGGTGGACGAGAGAGCTGTGAGGCCACACCAAGGGCCTGAGGCCTCAGTTGCCTACCTGGGCCATGCCTAGGGTAACCTCCTTCGGGCCCAGCCCAGCAGGCTCCAGCGGTTGGAAGAATTTTCTTGGGACCTAACCTGTGCTCTGTTGTCCCAGGAATATCCACCCCAAGTCCCTAACTGCTGAGCGCATCCTGCCAGCACTGTCCAAGGACAAAGAGGAGGAGATACGCAAAATCCTGAGGAACAACTTGCAGAAGACCAGGCAACGGGTGAGGGTCTGCAGCCTGGTCCGACTCCCCAACAGCAGAGGAACCCTGTACCCCTTTCCATGGTAGCCCTGCCCTGCATGTGCCCCTTGGCCCCCACTCCAGAGCCCCAGCCCGGCCTCTGCCCTGCCCTGCCCCCTACACATGGTCAGAGCCTTCCAGGCCAGCTTCCAGGGTCTGCCCTACCCTGACACTGTTCCTCCCACAGCTTCGGTCCTACAACAGACACACGCTGGTGGCAGACCCCTACGAGGAGGCCTGGAACCAGATGCTGCTCCGGAGGCAGAAGGCCCGGCAGCTGGAGCAGAAGGTGCTGCCTTTCTCTGAGAATCTGAGTTCTTCCCGCTCCACCACGCCCCCTGAGGAAAAGTGCCCATTCTAGAAACAGAGAGTTTGACTTTCGAGGATGCTTGTTGATGGTGGAAAGGTTTGAGCTCAATCCCAAGGGCATGGAAAGCCTAAGCAAGGGAGTGACGGGGGTGGGAGTTGCCTGGCTTAGGGCGGTGGCAGGGGAGATGGAGAGGAGTGGGTAGATTTAAGGGACGTTGAGGAGATGGAACTAGCAAGACTTGGTCATCAGTTTGAGGTGGGCTGAGGGAAGAGAAGGAGTCAAGGGTCACTTCCAGGCTTCTGACTGGGGGAGTTGAGAGAGGTGACTGCCACAGGGGACCTCAAGGAAAGAACAAGATTTCAAATGAAGGTGAGGAGCTGAGCTCAGTGTCAACTTGTTGGATTTGAGATACTTGGGGACCCTTGGGGCCCAAATGTCCACTCCTGAGTTGGCTTTGTGGGTCTGGAACCTCAGGGCAGGGGTAGGATGGAGCTAGAGGCTGGCGCAGTGCAGGTGTGTTCTAGGCTGCCCAGGGAGGTCGCTTGACGAGAGCCTAGTACAAGCCCTCAGGAACCCCTCAAGGACCAGCGTGAGTGCCTATAAGGAAGTGGGAGCAAGCACCCCTAGCATGCCAAAGGAGGGTACACAGAGGGGCTGCCTCTGCCCAGCTGCCTGCGCTCACTCCGTCTGCTCTCTCTGTCAGATCAACAACTACCTGACGGTGCCGGCCCACAAGCTGGACTCACCAACCATGTCGCGGGCCCGCATTGGCTCAGGTAAGGGGCCTGGCAAGGGGCCTCCGGGCTAGGGGCTTCATGCCACCTCCTGAGGAAGAGGTTCCCATAGGAATGGGCCTCAAAGCCAGTGGGGAGGACAGACCTCACCCTTGCCGACCTCAGGGCCTCTTCCCAAGCCATGAGCTGCTTCTGTGTCAAGTGGGGCTAGAGGTTCACAAGAGGGGGCAGAATGGCCCTGCTGCCATCCCCAGGGACAAAGATGCTCTCAGCAAGGCTCTTGCTGAGGACTGAGGAGGGAGCTAGAAGCAGCCAGGGCACCTGGCCAGGAGGCAGACAGAAGGCTTGCACCTCTGGGTTCTCTAGCATGTGTGGGAAAATAGGGGGAGGCCTTCTCGAAGGACTGAGCCCCAGGGCAGACAGTGACTCAGGGAAGAGCCCCGATTCTTGACCTGTGAAGGGGCACCTCCAAGATCCCCTGGTCGGAGCAGAGGGCCCCAATCTGAGGAAGAAGAGAGGTGGGATGCAAGGCCATAAAGCCCCATATGGACGGGGTTCTGAGTCACGTCGGGATGCCTGCACTCGCAGGAAGCCTGTGGGTGGTGCTGGGGCTGAGGAGCAGAACCCAGCTGTGCCTTGCTCTTGGTCCCCAGACCCTCTGGCCTACGAGCCCAAGGCAGACTTGCCCGTCATCACCATCGACCCAGCCTCCCCACAGTCACCGGAGTCTGTGGACTTGGTGAACGAGGAGCTGAAAGGCAAGATCTTGGGGCTGAGCCAGGACCCAGCAAGGGTGGCCGAGGACGACGACGATGATGACGGGGGCATCATGATGCGGAGCAAGGAGACTTCGTCCCCAGGCACTGACGATGTCTTCACCCCTGGGCCGAGTGACAGCCCCAGCTCCCAGAGGATACAGCGCTGCCTCAGTGACCCAGGCCCCCACCCCGAACCTGGGGAGGGAGAGCCGTTCATCCCCAAGGGGCAGTAGCGCCAGCGCCAGCGGGCAGCATCCGTTTCATCGTAGACTCTCCCACCAGAGCAGGGGCTGCTGGGGCTCCCCTCACCCTTCTTGATCTGGATTGGCCCTGCCCCCTCCCCACTGCATGGCAGCTGGGCCCACAGCCCCAGCACAGCACGGCTTCCTCTGCCTCGTGGGAAGGGTCCTCCCCACTAGAACTGCCTCCCGATCCATTTGGCAGAACTGCTGGGGCTGGTGAGGCGTGCCCGGCCTCTTCCCCAGATCCAGGCCCTCTCCCTTACCTGGACTAGGACCTCAGAGGCCCCTCCCTCTGCCTCATCACCCTCCTCATTCAGACCAATCTTAATTTCTAACCAAAGAGTCTCTGGCTCAGCTGTGGCCCCATCCTTCCTAGGCCAGGCCCTCCTGATACCAGGCATGTGGCTGGGGAAAGGATCACTGACCATAGGGGTCTAACCCTCCTTCTGCCAGCCCTGTCACCCTGGCCGGCCACTGGACTTGTCCTCACTCAGAGCTGCAGGCTGAAGGCATCTCTGAGCTTCTCTGCTTGGAGCTGGGGCATTGTGTACCGTGATGCTGACATGATCCAGAGCTTTCTGAACTGTGCTCATACGGGGACCACTGGGCTCTTCAGGGGCTGCTGCCAGGGGAGAGACTGCTTGGGACTCTAGAATGACTGCCTTTTTCTGTTTTGTTTGTTCACACTTCCATGTAGGATCCTGTTTGCACAGAGGACACTCCTGTTTTTAAAGCATTTTGAAAACCCCTTGCCAAACAGAGCTCCCTCCTCCCACTCCAGAGAATTACCCCTCATTTATGCCTGTCTGTCCAACCCCCTCTCCTGCTGGGCTTGCAACTGGTACAGGAAGCCCCTGATTTTAGAAGTGACCCCTCACCCTAATCAAGAGTCTCTCCAACCTCACAGATGCTGGGCCTCCCTCGTGCTTGCCTGGGTTCTTGGGCCTGATCCTTAGTTCCTGCTGGTCTGGCCTGCCCTCACTCCTAGGTTGGCCCCTGGAACCGCTCCCTCCTGTGTTCACACCCAGCTTGCTGTGGAGCTCAGTCTTGGGGGAGAAAGCCTCCCTCTGGGGCTCCTGCCCCCAGGGCTGGTGGGTGGGACAGAAGCCTGGGTCCCAGAGGCCTTTGCTCACAGGTGGTCCCAGCTCCTTAACCCCGCCATGACCAGGCCCAGGCTTATTGGTGTTTGTCCTTCCCCTGGGATACTCCCTCCCCCAGGATTGTGCAATAGTCAGAGTGTCCCTCTTTCCAGTGGGCTGGGCTCTGGGTCCTCAGCCTGTCTATCCTCCTCTCCATGCAAGTGCTATTTTGAGCAGGAGTCACCATGCAAGGATGATGTCGGCAACCATGTACAAAGCCATCGCAGCTGCTGCCACTCTACCGCCTATACAAAAGAAACTGAATCTTTTTCATATTCTAATAAATCAATGTGAGTTTTTGATAGAGTCAAGGGCTGCTTCCTGGGGAAAAGGGGCTTGAGGAAGAAGTATGGCCTGGGGGCCTGAAGTACTTGGCAGAAACGCCCAATAGCTATCAGCTGCTAGTGTGGTTATTCCCACATGCCAGGCACCCAGATACACCAGGAGCCCTCAGTCCAGTGGAGGACACCTGCATTAATCAAATATCCACACAGACTGGAAAAACCCAGTGTGTTTGTGAGAAATGTGAATAAGTGGGGGAAGGGAGGGAAGGAGGGGATGGTGAAGACTTCCTGAGTAAGTGATGTCTGAGAGGACTGAAGAATGAGTTGAGGTAACCAGGTGGAGAAAGACTCAGAGAGTTCTCAGGTATTCAAGTTGGGAGCTGTGTACGTGAACAACCTGGGGTCTGAGAAAAGGTCAAGTGTCTGGGTCAAAGTGATGGCAGGGGAGGCAAGAATAGGACCTTGTGGTCCATGGTTAAGATTTTGGTCTTTATACTAAAGGCAGTGGAAAGTCATTGAAGTCCTTGTGTTCTCGCCTGTAAAAGGGGGTAGTAACCCCAGATGAAATGTGCTCAGGTGTATACAGGTTGAGCATCCTTAATCTGAAAATCCGAATGCTCCAGAATCCAGAACTTTTTAAGCGCCATCATGCCACAAGTGGAAAATTCTACACCTGACCTCAAATGACAGGTCACAGTCAAAACTTTATTTCATGCACATAATTACTTTAAATACTAATGTTTTCTAATAATATTGTTTTAAAGATTACCTTTAGGCTATGTGTATAAGCTGTATATGAAACACAAATGAATTTTGTGTTTAGACTTGGATCCCATCCACAAGGCGTCTCACTGTATGTACGAATATTCCAAAGTCAGAAACACTTCTGCTTGCAAGCATTTCGGGTAAGGGATACTCAACCTATCATGGGGTCAGTTCAGCAGTTGCTGGACCCCGAAGTGCACTTATAGAAATGACCACCAGAGGTCAGTGGGGCCTTGGCATACTCCTCAGGCAGCCTTCAAACCTGGGCAGTATAGGAAAGCATCTCTTTTGTCTAGCCTGGGACCTGAGTATGGAGCTGGTTTGACTCATGAAATCTGAAGTGGTCAGTGCCAAAAGAATTGTTGGGAAGGACCACAGTGTCCTTTTCTGTATCCATAGGTGTCCTAGTAGGAAATTGGTGATACAGTCATCTCTCAGTATCTCCTGGAAATTGGTTCCAGGACCTCCACAGATACCAAAATCTTCAGATACTTAAGTCCATGATACAAAATGTCATAGTACCATTGGCCCTTGGCATCCATGGGTTCTGCATCCATGGATTCAACCAACTGCAGATTGAAAATATTTTAGGCTGGGCATGGTGGCTCACACCTGTAATCCCAGCACTTTGGGAGGCGGAGGCAAGAGGATTCTGAGTCTAGGGGTTTGAGATCCATCTGGGCAACTTGATGAGACCTCATTTCTACAATAAATAGAAAAAAATATTAGCTGAGTGTGATGGTGCATGCCTGTAGTTCCAGAGACTTGGAAGGCTGATGTGGAAAGATTGCCTGAGCCCAGCAAGTCGAGGCTGTGGTAGCCATTGTGCACATGCCACTACACTCCAGCCTGGGCAAGAGTGAGACTCCGACTTAAAAAATATAAATATTAAGCTGGGCTCGGTGGCTCAGCCTGTAATCCCACGCCTTTGGGAGACTGAGGTGAGTGGATTGCCTGAGCCCGCGGGTTTGAGACCCGCCTGGGCAACTTGGCGAGACTTCATCTCTACAATAAATCAAAAAATAAGCCAGGCGTGGTAGCATGCCTGTAGTTCCAGCTACTTGGAAGGCTGAGGCGGAAGGATCGCCGGAGCTCAGCAGGTCGAGGCTGCGGTGGCCGGGAGCGGCCGCTGCACTCCAGTCTGGGTAACAGGAAAAAATATATATATATATTATATTTATATATAATATAATATATATAATATATAAATATAATATATATAATATAATATATATTATGAAAACAAAAATAATGCAAATGAAAACAATACAGTATAACAACTATTTACATAGCACTTATGTTGTATTAGGTCTTATACATTGTATTAAGTACATACATTTACATTGTCTTAGGTATTACAAGTTAGGGATCCCCAAGCCTCAGGCCACAGTATCAGTCCTTGGCCTGTTAGGAACCAGGCTGCACAGCAGGAGGTGAGCAGCAGGCGAGCAAAGCTTCATCTGCATCTGTATTCACAGCTGCTCCCTATTGCTCATATTACCTTCTGAGCTCTGTCTTCCTGTCAGATCAGTAGACGCATTAGATTCTCATAGGAGAACAAACCCTGTTGTGAACTGTGCACATGAAGGATCTAGGCTGCGTGCTCCTTATGAGAATCTAATGCTGCCTGATGATCTGAGATGGAGCTGAAGCAGTAATGCTGGTGCTGGGGAGTGGCTGCAAATACAGATTAACATTAGCAGTGAGATTTGACTGCACAGAGACCATAATAAGTCAAATGCTTAGACATATCACAGCCTTATCAGTGAGTGGCAAATGAATTAATGTATTTCAATTGTACACCTGCATCAGGTAGCAGGCTTTAAGTCAGAATCCAACACTTATTTTAGTCTGTGCATGGCCCACCCATTGTTTTATTTACCACTTCTGTCCACGTCTTTTTTTAATGGTGAGTTGTATAATTATTTCATTATATTACAATGTAATAATAGAGATAAAGTGCACAATAAATGTTATGTGCTTGAATCATCTGGAAACCATCCACGCCCCCGTCTTCCTTGAAACCAATCCCTTATGCCAAAAAGGTTGGGGACCACTGTTATAAGTAAACTAGAGATAAGATTTTAAGTATATGAGAGGATATACATAGGTTATATGCAAATACACCATTTTATATAAGGGACTTGAGCATCTGTGGATTTTGATATCTGTGAGGGTCTTAGAGGAATCCCCCACAGATAACGAGGGCTGAATGTCTTTGCATGTAACCGACACACATTCTGCTATATACTTTAAATCATTTCTAAGTTACTTGTAATACCTAATACAATATAAATGCTATGTAAATAGTTGTTTTACTGTACCAGTGTTTTAAATTTTTATTATTTTTATTACATTATTGATTTTTAATTTTTAAATCTGATTAGCTGAATTCCAGGATACAGAACCTGAGGTATGAAGGGCCTACTGCATACACAAGTGAGTACCAAAGAGCCTTCAGTTAAGGACTTAACTACAGAGGCATGGACAGGGTTATGGGAACCTAGCAGGGATGGAACCCAGTGGAGCTCACACTACAGGGAGCCATTACAACCGCTAGACCTGAAAGGGTAGGAAGAGGGAGCTGTCGCTATGGTAGGGGGCTGTCCCACTAGAGTTGGGGTAGGTAGCAGAACACAGCCCTTGCTAGAGGGGTCTGACTTCTTTTATCCTGATGATGCCTCCTATTGTCCAAACCCAACTGAAAGCCCTAAGGGAAGGCAGCATGAGTGAGTCTCGATTCCAGTGCACGGTCGCCCTTGCAGGGAAAGGGAAGTGGGTGCAGAGGAGATGTGGGATCCAAGCAGCGCCATTCCTTCTGCTCCTCAGCATCCATTCATCCTTTGGATGGAAAATTCATGTCCCTATTGATTAAAGATTGCTGAATTTCTGTTTGGAATGATGAAAACTTTTTGGAAATAGTGGTAATAATTGTACAATATTGTGAATGTACTACATGCCTCTGAAGTGTTCACTTTAAAAAGGTTAGTTTTATGTTATGTGAATTTCACCTCAATTTACTTTAATGGAAGAAAAACAAAACCTCATGTCCAAGAAGAAAACAAAAGGTCGCATCATATTCTTGCAATCCTTCAGTCACTCACCTGGAGTCTAACATATTAGTTATCACCAGGGTTCTTTTTATTTATTTATTTATTTATTTATTTATTTATTGAGTTGGGGTCTCACTCTGTCGCCCAGGCTGAAGTGCAGTGGCTCTCAAGGCTCAATGCAACCTTGCCCTCCTGGGCTCAGGTAATGCTTTTGCCTCAGCCTCCCTGCTAGCTGGGACTACAGGCACACGCCATCACACCGGCTACTTTTTTTTAGAAGTGAGGTCTCGCTATGTTACCTAGGCTGATCTCGAACTCCTGGGCTCAAATAGTTCTCTCACCTTGGCCTCCCTAAGTGCTAAGATTACAGGCATGAGCCACCACACCCAGTGCCAGGACTCTTTTTTTGTTTGTTTTTTTGGGTTTTTTTGAGTTGGAGTCTCACTCTGTGGCCCAGGCTGGAGTGCGGTGGCACGCTCACAGCCACTGCAGCCTCAACCTGCTGGACTCCGGCGATCCTTCCATCTCAGCCTTCTAAGTAGCTGGTACTGCAGGCGCGCAGTACCACGCCCAGCTAATTTTTTGATTTCTTGTAGAGATGAGGGCCTGCCAAGTTGCTCTGACTGGTCTTGAACCTCTGAGCTCAAGCAGTCCTCT